CTCTCTATCTATCTATCTATCTATCTATCTATCTATCTATCTATCTGTCTATCTATCTATCTCTCGCACACACACACACACACACACACACACACACACACACACACACACACACGCACACGTACTCGAGCACAAACGGCTTGGGGGTCCCAACCCAATAACTGACGTTAGTAGTTCAGAAGCTGTTCTGTCTCTGCTGCCAGTCTGACAGTAGCTGTCATCCAGATGCCTTTCTGACAAACGTCAGGGCGAATGACAAGCAAAAATTGTGTCCAAAGACTCCGAACACAATCGCGAATAAGCTCCATACAATTTCCAGAATGCCTTTGCCGGTAAAAGATATTGGAAAGTTTTGTATCTATGTAGCCATCCCATACCTGGCAGCGTACGCGTGTGTGTTCTGCACCAACGTAAGCCATCACTTGCCGACCGCTGCCCACATCCCAAAGCCGTACGGTGGAATCCCTGCCACAAGATAGCACATACCTGCCCCAGCACGAAATCAAGGAACTCCGATGAATTCAATCGACCCAGCATCAAGACAACTCCAAAAGCAAGTATCATTCTGCTCATTCACCCATGTATTTGAAATCGATCACAGCCTTTACATGCCATAAAATTATCAAAGGCATTGAAAGTAGTGCTCAGTAGTAGCAGCAATGTCTGTGAAGTTGTGTACCACTCGGGAGTCCTGCACAACGTTAAATGTTCCTTCTACGACTGACTCACCAAACACCAAACAGATACAATGTGCTCTCTCAGAGCTCGCTCTGCATACTTCACAAAACAATTTGAGCGAAAGATCCCAGGTATGAGGATCACAAATGGAAAACCCAGTAGCAGTATCAGGTCCTGCATGAGCAGTACCAACCTTTGCCTAAATCGTCATCATCAAAATACAGCCTCAGGCCCAGCCTGTTCTCCCCAGCATACCTTTGATCCGTTGAGCGAGAGCCTTTCCACACGGGGGCCCCGGATCACTATGGCCGACTTTTGTCTCTGTTCCACTCAGGCAGGCTTAAAGCTTCTTCAACCTCCAGAAGGGGCTATGGCTGCCAGCCACTTCGCACAGAAGGTGAGCCATGGCTCTCTCCCCCAAGCCGAGCGTCTCCCACACTCCACTGGTATGGTAAGCTAACAGCTGTCGCCCTGCCACAACATGATGCCTCAATCCCCTTGGTTGATTGGCTGGCATTGTGTCCATTTGCCCGTCCGCCACTGGATCATCCTCTCCTATTGCTTTAACCTCCTACCAGCGAAGAATGTGTGGAAATACCAATGGGCCTACCTTCTTCTCCCGAATACAACGTACGGTCATTATCGCTGTATTTAGACTGAAGAATGCCCCAAATACAGTTATAATCAAGGTCACCAGCCCGTACGTACGGAGGCCCCCGGGCTGACCTCTGTACGTATGGGCGTTCGGGGTCCGAACCTGAAGGCGTTCGGCCCCCCCAAAAAAATATTTCGGGGCCTAAAAATAAGTTCTTTTTTCTGAATTTTTTTTCGTGATCTCTTAATGATGTGAGGTACATGCCTATAAATTTTGAACTCATTTTGCTGAGCCAAACAAAAATTTTAAATCGCCAAAGATGGAGATGTCAAAACGTGCTCGCCCACTCACTATTTTTTTTTTCACTTTTTACTTCTTGTTTTCACTTTATTGGGCGGCCTAAAGAATTTTATTATTTTTGAAACTTTTTTAACGATTTTTGTATTATGTGAAGTACACATCTGTAAAATTTCAGGGCATTTGGTTGTGCCAAAAAACAATGAAAAGTCGCCAAAGATGGCGGTGTCCAAAACGTGCTCGCTCACTCACTAATTTTAATTCTTTTCTCATTTTTTCTTATTTTCAATATTAGTTTTATTTTCTGTATTTTATTTTAATTTCAAATTTGGTAAGGAATTTGGATGTAATTGCGAGGCCACTGCCTCTATGAGCCCCTTTCGGCCCCTCTCTTACAGCCCGTCGGCCGCCCTAAGTGAAGGCAGGCTCGACGAGGCCTTCAGGGCCTCATTTCGGCCTCTGCGCAACTAAGGAAAATTCAGGCAGTTGCGCAGTGCCAGTTGGTTGAGGAAACCCAGTCCCTGGGACGCCTGTGTGAATGAATGGAAAGCAGGCCCTGGGCTGGATACGGGTACTGGGCCACACACATGCCAAAGGCAGTTGGGCACATGCAACTACCGCAGGCCCCAGGCCTGTTCTCGATCGTACTGGGCCTCAGGCTACCGGGGCCTACTGGAAGCTTCCGGGGACTGGACGCAGGCAGGCCACTTCGATATAGCAAAGGGCCTGCCTCCTCATTCAGCATTCGGGTGCTGGCTGCATGCTGCGCAAGCGCTGCTGCGCTATTTGCTGGCTGGCGCCTACTCTCTCACGGGCGAGCAGGGAAGGAGCACGCAGCCATAGCCGAGCTGCGCTGCTGTAAGCTGGGTGAGGTGCAGGGTGGTCCTTGGGTGCAAGTGGCATCTGTGTGTTGGGGAACGAGGTTGTGAGTAAGGCGAGAGACATAGTATAGGCTAGATAGGATCTGCCACATGTAGTCTGGGGGCCGAGCGCCAGATAGGATATCAACTCTGGTTCTTCGTTGATGATGATGATGGGACTATTTCAGCATTGTCAATTATGAACTCTTGGTGTGYTCTTATTTGGTGWAWCTCRTSATGCAATTCTGCTGTTGGTTCGAGGTCACGACTATCTGGACTCATATGTATGATGCTGTTTGNTCTCTCTCTCTCTCTCTCTCTCTCTCTCTCTCTCTCTCTCTCTCTCTCTCTCTCTCTCTCTCTCTCTCTCTCTCTCTCTCTCTGTGTGTGTGCAAGGTGGGAGCACGGCCCCTGAACGAATGACTGTTGCCGCACAATTTCGAAAACGGTGGCCGCCATCCAGAAACGCAGTCCACCTCTATCCGCCCGAACCGAGTCCCGGCAGAAGTCGAACACGGGAAAAAAAAAACAAAAAAAAATGGGAGGGCCTGCTACCCGTACCTGCTCCCAGGCCAGGCCACAGGAAAAGAGAGGTACCACTAGCGCCCATTATGGAACCAGTAGGGTAGGCTGCCAAATGCATAGTTTACTCAACTTTACTGTTTTTCTTGCAGTTTCCAACTGGTCTTCGCCCAAGCTTGCAGTGGACTGTTATTTCTGCAATTTTTTTTATTTTATTTTTTTTGATTTTTTTTTTTAATTTTCTGCGAATTCTGAACTGTGCAGCAGTCACAGGCGCAGTTGTCTGAAAACAAAAACTTAAAAAACGGAGCTTATGATCCTGCCGCCTTTTCCATTCTGTGTACCGTCAGGGCATACTCACACTAGGCCCTCAAAAATGTAGAAAAATCGCAAAATGAGCGGCGAGATAGAGTTATTCTGAATGGGAGACTCGATCTGGCCGCTCAATTTGTGATTCTGCGCTTTTGAGGGACTAGTATGAGTATAGTCTTAGTCCGGTATTAGTGTTTTCTATTTTATTTTATTTTATTTTATTTTTATTTTTATTTATTTATTTATTTAATTTGGACCATTTCTCGATTAATGCTTGTCACGCTTGTTGCACGGGCCATGCCAATCTTTTTTTTTTTATTTTATTATTATTATTCTTTTTTTTTACCATTTCTCGATTTATGCGTGTCATCCTTGCGCAGGGGCCATGCTAATCTTCTCTGTATCGTTCCAATTTTAACGGATGTCCCGAAGGACTCTACTCTTCTTTTTTGACTCCTACATTCCTCCACAAAAAATGGATGTGATACCCCACCTTCTTCTGAGGCCTAGAAGTTTTCACATCCAGCGTCACAGCAGTTGGACTTCGGTTTCTAAATCAGACACAAAGGCCCATCATGTCCAATTTCACCACCGTGGGGACTCTTGTTTGGATACTTAAAAGTTAAAAATCAAAAGTAAAAAAACACAGCATGACCACGTTCCTCTCTGTATGTGGCCTTTCAGGGCTGTGGGCTGTAAGATTGAATTGACATTCAGATTCAGAGAGAATGAAAGGGTGAGGAATGAGCGGATTGGGTCCAGGATGGTTTGAACTCTGAAGTTCAAACATATGGCATAATACCTCTGGTCGCGTGAGAATACGGCGCTGGTGGCTTCGGTGCCCGCATGCGCGGTCGTGATAGCTCGGACACAGCGTGCATTCTGTCCATCCCATAGCCGCACACCACCATCCTTTGAGCATGTCACGTAGAGACTGCCGTTTGACGAGTAACGCACCTGAAACAAAGAGGTGTTTGATTCCAATTGATTGTCCCAAACAGGGCCAAAGAAGCGTTAGCCCAACTTAGCCCTTTTTTTTGTTTTTTTTTTCCCATCTTCAGATCATTGGTTCCCAATCCCACACAGCCATTCACCACAATGCATAAACACTCCCGAAATGCCCCCCAAGTATCGCTACAAGATAATTTGCAAGTTTCTGGCCTCGGAAAAAAAGCACGTGCTCTGACACTTGGAATGCTTACTAGCCCATCAGCCTCGCTAGCAGTTAATCGTATAAACTTTAGAAGATGTCACTGTCAACAGTCCAAACTTCAAATCCTGTGAACTTCCGTGATCACATAGGCGCTACCTGTGTTAGGCAACACACAGAGAGAATGCACTCGGAGAAGTGCACACGCATGTAGACACCATTTCAAAAAGGGAGAGACTGACAAACCAGAGACTGACAAGTCAGGCACAGAAGGGTCATAAAGGTCACAAAATTCAGCAAAAAACGCAAAGCAGCATTCCAAAAAGGGAGGAGGGATCAGCCCTATCCAAACTCCAAAGTTTCACCTACTTATCCACTCTATATAGTGCAGTGAGGATCAAACTACAAATCAAATATGTTGCACAGGCACTGTCATTCTGAGAGTGCTGCCTGGGAGCCAGAGAGTCTGGGACTACATTCTTCGCTGCAACAGGAAGACCTTACCCAAGTTGATTGCAACTTGGACGGAAGCGATCTAGTCGCCAAACAAAGCGATATTACTCTACCCACTGAGAGCTAATTACCCGGACCGCAGCATGTTGGAAAAGAGCGGAAAAGGAGGATCGCGAGCTATTCCATCCATGGTGAACTTCATGGATCCCGCCGAAACAAACATATCTTGATTTCAACTGGTAACACGATGATGATCTTTTTACTGCATAGTCTGCTGGAAGACAACCAATCAGAATACAACCAATTAGCTATAGTTGCGAGAGTAGATATGCATTAATTCTCCACTCTTCGGTTTCTGGAAAGTTGGTCCATTTTTCCAAATACACCCCCCTCCCTCCCCCCCCCCCAAACCTTGGTTGGTCTTGCTAGGGGCTTTACCCCCATCCCTTCCATCCATGGCTAGGGGTTGGGCTCAACCCTAAGGGGATAGGCTCAGCCCATGTTTGTAGATTTACCACTTAGTGCGCTTGGGTGGATCGGTAGGTACTAGGTACTTGTGCACAGATGTGGAGTGCTGCAATGCTAGATGCGTGGGTGGATAACGTGAGGTATGTAGGTAGCTAGGGTGAGGCGAAAAAATATTGAGAGAAGAAAATAACGCAGTGACACTTCAAATAGAGCACATGCATGGGCTACAGGGATGCCCGGTCGGCAGGGGAAGGTGGCCGGCCGGGTGACTAGGGCGCACTGAAAAGTAGACGGGCATATGCTTCCTATTTTTTTATTTTTTTTTCGGTTGGTGGGCCGTTCTGCACTGGTTGAAAGCAGAATCCTGCTCAACCCATCGGCCTGCTGTATGACACAGTTTTTTTCTTTTTCCCTTTTTTTTGGCATCCATTGGTGGCTGTCCATCTGTGAGGGGGAACCCCCACCATGATGGAGGGCTCAACCCATGGGTCTACGTTCGCACCCGCCACTACAAGTTTGCGCCGAGGGCCCACTGCACTTCGCTGCAGATCCGATGGTTTCGTCCCTGTTTTTTTGCCACTGTTCGTGCTGGTCCTTCAGCCTGCAGAGCGCTCATACCCTGTCCTTTGCAGCCTTACGTGTGCAGGTCTCGCTGAGAGCAACACCTGGCATCCAGAAGTGGACCAGACACCAAATACCCTACAGAGCATTCAGATTTTTCAGTGCCTTCGCCTACCCCAGATGGCGGTTATCTATGGCAGGTCATAGAACGCAGGAGGTGTCACTGTAGATTGTATGCCGATCTCTTTGCTCAAATTCAGCAGAATGTCTTTGCAGATGGACTGCCCAAACACATACAC